ACGGTATCTGCTCCGGGGTCGCCGCAGCCAGTTCGAGATCGAAGCCGTCAGCTCCATGGGTGTTCACATGGTGTACCCGTTCCAGTCAGTTACCGAACAGCTGATGATGAGCACCAACCAGACGCTGATCCTGATGTCAACGAAGCCGATCACCTCTCCCTTCCCGGACCCGCCACAGCCGCGCAGTCTCAAGCAGGTCAGCTGGGGCATCCTCACCAGGGAAAAAAAGACGCCTGAGAGGCCGTTCCTGCCCAAGCCAACGCTGACCGACGCACCCATCTTCAACTTCGCCGTTCCGATTCTACCGCTTAACCGGATGTTGGAAAACATGCCCTTGCCAACTATGAAGAAGAGGGTTCTGGAGATCATTGCCAGCCTGGACGCCACCTTTGAACAGGTCCCCGACCCGGAGACCCGTGACGCGCCCGGAATGGCCAACGTGCTGCAGTCCTTGCTGAACATGATGTCCCTGCAGGACTTGGAAGAAATGTACGGTGACATAACGAAGATTGCGGATCGCGACGTTGACGTCATGCAGAAGATGTACCGTGAGGCCGTGGCAATGGCAGGTACCAACCCCTGCATCATGATGGTGAAGAAGTGGATCGAGTCAAAGGTGGTTGTCGGCACCGAGGCTGCCACGCTTGTTATGTACATCCCTATGCATATCAAGACGCCCACCATCGAGATTCTGCAGGAACTCTTCAAGCTGCTGCGCAACGGAATCGCCCAGAACGACGAGCATCTTCGCCAGAACGGGATGCTGGCCTTTGCCAACACTGTCAATATTGCCTGCATTCGGCCGGCCACAACCAAGAACGCCTTTCCGGTTACCATGTTCGAAGAGTTCTGCAATGCTGAGACGCCGCAGATTACTCAGCAGTGGGTGCCGTTCTTCACCAAGCGCGTAACAGAGGATGTGTCTACCCGCGAGAAGATGGTAGCCTTGAAGGCGATGTCGATGCTGCAGCATCCGGCGGTGGTGCCGACTCTGATGGAGATTGCCACCAAAAAGTCAGAGAACGTGCACGTTCGCGAGATGGCTATCTTCGCAATGATGAAGTTCCGCATGATCAACCCAGTTCTGGTAGAGCGTGTCGTCAAGCCAATTGCACTTGATAAAAACGAGTTTCCCGAGGTGCGCATGGCGGCCACCGCCGTCCTCGTCTCGGCCAACCCGCCTCTGGCCACTTACCAGCAGCTGGCTCTGAACACCTGGACCGAGAATGACCAGCAGCTTTGCAACTTCGTCTCCAGCTTCTTGGAGGAGGTAGCCAACCTGACCGCCATCAACATGCCAGTGCTGCGTGACGTCCGAGAGAAGGCTCGGGTGGTGTTCAGGCTGACTCGGCCGGTGCGCTACGGCGACCTGTGGACCCGCTCCACCTTTGTCCGGAGTCACATTGATCTCCTCATGGTCACCGGCGAGATCGATACGGTGTCATACAAGACGCCGTTTGACATATCTACCTTCACGTACCGCGGCCACATGCGCAGCTACAACAGCATGGTCTTCCTCCCGCTGGCGATGCACACCAGGTTTGTCGGCATGCAGAACGTCATCGACTTCCTCACAGCCCCCGACAGCGCCGTCAACATCAACCGCTTCAACCGCGGCCCTCAGCCCGCCCAAACTTCCATCGGGGAGATGGCCGAGATCAAGAACCTTCTGAAGATGGTCAAGCGCGAGAACGAGCCACTGATGGTGTGGCTGCATGCTGCCTTGATGGGATCCATGGATCGAGTTTTTACATTCGACCAGCAGGCTATCCAAGGCTATCTGCAGAAAATGCGGGACGGCGACAGCACCAGTCATCACTTCAGAAACTTCCAGAAGCTGATGCATCTGATAGACCATGTCGTCGGGCTTCCCACCGATGTTGGAGTCCCCATGATGCTGTTCAGAAGCGCTCCTGCCGTCCTGTCAATGCGCGGAGATATTACGCTGAACACAAAGAAATCCGCTGATGGAAGCAGAATAATCCGCATGGACGCAACGAACCTGCAGCCGTTCTTAAACGTCAAGATGATGGCTTTTGTTGCGGCTGTAAATCCTCTCACGATGCGAATGCTATCTGCTGGTGTCAACCACAACATAATGGCGAGCCTTCCCATCACTGCCAGTGCTGAGTGGGATTCCAAGAGCAAGCGCATCGAACTCTTTACAAAGTTCATCAACATGCCCAACCCAGTCAACATGTTGCGGCTGGAGACCTGGCCGTTCACCTCGGCCTGGGACCTGATGCAGATGACCAACAATATTCGCCATAGCCCGGACACGAAGGCCATCCACGTGCGGCCGCCTACCAGCAACGAGATGCGTCTGGGCAAGGAGATGTTCGGAATAGACTTGACGATGGTGCACAGGAGTGAGGACGACTTTGGCGGCATTTGGGAATACCTCCGTAAAATGCGTGCGACCTACAACATGGGCAACATGTTCAGCGTGGTGCCGACAATTCGACCGAACCTGATGAAGCTCTTCCTGGACACTCCGCGCGCCACCACGCAGAAGCTGATCATCTCCATCGCTAAAGACACTTTCCGCCGCCACTACACGCTGGACACGGTCAACAACCCGGAGGCGGAGCCCGTCGAACGCATCGAGTGGCTGGGCGACAAGGCACAGTACCGCGATGAGCGTCACGCCGTTGTCGAGAAGGACGCACGCCGCGAAGTTCTGAAGCGAGCGCGCCGCACTCTGCAGGGCATTCACACTGGTGAGGCCACGGGCTATACGGTGGTCTTCAGCGCCATGGGCATGAGGGAGCGCCGGATTGCGCTGAAGATGTTGACGACGACCGACTCCAGCCGGCTGAACACGAAGATGGACTGGCGCGTGCTGACGACGCCCACCGACGACATGCCGGTGAAGAGGGAGCTGATGATGGACACGCACGTCACCTGGCCGAGGGTCGGTCGCACCCTGAACGAGCTTCTCATGTCGGACATGTATGCGCCGATTGAGATGACTGCCAGTCTCGCTCTCAACGGCACCGTGAACCGCCTGGTCACCATGACTGGTGCGCTGCGCCAGACCGATTTGTACAAGATGTGGGCTGCTAAAAACCGCCTCACTGACGAGTGCCGCGAGGTGAGGAACGATGGCTTTGAGCACGCGCCTGTCTGCGAGCGCGCTATGATCGCGGCGTCTCGTCTCAACCGCCTCAAGCTGGACATGGACATCAACATGAACCTTGACGAGCACATGACCACTATGTCTATGATGGTGAAGGATTCCTCCACCAGGAAGACCAAGCGTGCGATGTCATCATGGACTGACATCATCAAAAACTGGATGATTTCCCGGCTGGTTCACTTCCCCAGAACACTCAGGCCGTCTCACCTCAACAGCGTGAACAAGCGCAGCATGGATTTACAGTTCAACCCATTCCAGAAGACCTGGACCCTCATGACCGACGATTCTAAACACACGATGATCGTCAAGAACATCCGTCCCGTAGAGATGCTCTGGTGGAGGACCAACGGCGTGTACAACAAGCACAACGACTTCGGAATGTCCATCCCGTTCATGCCATTCCTGAACATCCGCGATGGAATCAACGCATACGAGGACAGCTGGGACACCCTGAACCGCAAGACGATGGGTGAAGACATGCACAAGTGCATCATCGACGAGCGTTTCATCAAGACCTTCGACAATCTGACGTTCCCGGTCGACATGAAGAGGTCCTGCTGGCATATGATCGCTGGCGACTGCTCGGAGGTCACCAACCTCGCCGTCCTCGTCAAGCCGGTCGGCATGCGGAAGGCCGTGCGGATCATCACCAGCACTCGCATCATCGAGCTTCTGCCGACCGGCATGGACTACTACATGCGCGTGGATATGAAAGACTCGCGCCGCCTGCCGGTCGGCAACCTCGTCGTCCTGGAGACTAACACCAATACCAAGGTGCCTGAGGCACGCATCTTGAAGTGGACGACCGACCTGCTGGAGGTGGAGCTGCCGATGTACTGGGCGCGCCTGCGCATCGTCGGCCCGGCGGTTGAGCTGATGCTGGAGCCGATGTTCCTGAGGAACCGCGCGTGTGGCATCTGCGGCGACATGAACGGCGAGCGCTGGCAGGACATGGTCGGCCCCAAGCGCTGCCTCTTCTTTGGCGCCCGCGAGTTCCAGGCTGCCTACATGGTGGACAAGACTTGCCAGAGAGATCCGCTGCCCAACTACGGGGACAACTGCGTCAAGGTCAAGCGCGAGTCCTGGATGAAGTAGGCGGCCACTAGGCAAGCACGGCAGAGCAAGCACCAGGGCTGGGCCCTTTTCAGGGGAGCGGGCTGTGTGTTAGAGGACGGTGTGTTTTGGATGAGTGCTGTATGCTACGTTGCGCAAATGGTACGATCAATAAATGTTTGGTCGATACAATGTCGTGCCTTTTCATTGCATGGCACCGACCATGCCGACCCCGCCATGGGTAGATGAAGTGAAAGCGATGCGTATGAAAGAGGATGCCAGTGGCTACTATTGCATGTATCCGTGAACTGAATTGCGCGGATAATGACAATGTTTTGTTTCGGGAAACGCTGGATAAGGGATGGCGAGCAGAAAAAACGACATATTCTTAATTGGCTTGGCTGAAAAACAAATAACTTGGCTCCATTTCCAGTCCCTTCCACTGCGCATTCCAGACGCATCTGGCATCAACTAACCGACAAAATTTCGTACATTTGAATTGTTGTGCCCCTCCTAGCACAAACGGTCACTCGTCGTATAGTAGTCCTGAAGGCGCTAGATCTCGCAAAATATCGATCTAATCAGCTGTTGGAAAGAAAGTCGCTGGCAAGTAAACTAGGCAGAGCTCACAGTGTCTGACTGAAGACTGAGACACGTATGCTGTACGCTGGATCTTATGCCTCAAAACAGGATAGTTCTGCGACCCTCTCCCCGCTATTCCCAAACAAATTTTCCGTAATAATCACCACAGGAGTGATGGTGGCAAAGCGGTGGCTGCCTAGTCGGCAACTCTTCTGACATCACTTACCAGATGGAGTGGCTGTGACAGAAATCCAGCGCGGAAATGATCTGTCGGAAGAACCTGCGCGCCTCTTTTGGCGTGAGCCGGCCTTTCTTCACCAGGTAATCGAACAGCTCACCTCCAGACACGTGCTCCAATACCAGATATCTGCAAAGGAACAAGTGCGCTTTGCAGTGGAAGGAAATGGCACAAATAGGTGGTAGTATGGTTGGTTGGACGTTCAAGAAGCGCAAATTGACTGCCTCCATGCGCGTAGGCAGCGTAGAACCTCACACTTTTACATTCTTGCGAATGTCTCATAAACTTAATTGACTGAGGCACTCAGAAGTGATTTTTATGTTGCCAGGAAAATGTCACGGTATTGCAATCAGTATTTGCCTTTATACACAGACTCAGCTCGGCTCCATTCATTTATCACAACTGGTAGTTGTGGGTAACTCGCCGCACTAGAAAGGATATGAACGAATAAATTGTTTAAACATAAATGGAACGTTAACATCTGTGAACTTATCGTTTAGAAGATTGCACGATTAATGACATAGCCCTCAAGTGAAAACTAATCACCGTCACATAAGGAGTAAATTAGGGTGCCTCAGTGCGTCCATACTTACAAGTATTTCTTGTTATCATATACGTCATACAATCCTAACACATGTGGATGGTCGATGAGCTTCATGATGGCTATCTCTCGTTCCACCTGAAAGAAGTATGTCAATTAGGACTTTTGTATATTACATGTGACGTCATAACACGGTCGGCTATGTCTTCCAGCGTCATATGCTCAAAAAATCACGAGAGCGATTTAGCAGGATGGTTATACGCCATAAAAGTAAGAGCGGCCACGTAACTCCATTGGTCCGGCATGTACATCTGACAGTTCTTATTCTGACAATTTACTAACAATGAGAGGTTTTCTTACCTTTAATATACCAGCATTCAGGAAGCTCAAGCTAAATGACGTTATCTAGCAAATCCTAGCTTCGTTGAAGATAAATAATGTTGAAAACTTCATGATGAACTTTTCTTTCACTCCATGCTTGCTTGACGCTGCTAAGTCAGTACCTTCTGGTATATTCAAGGTCGGTTATTGTTGGAACGCAAACTTCAAAGTCGCAATATTAAAAATATTATGCTGTTTTGTTGTGGTCACTCAAAACCACAAAAGGGACACAAATTCATCAAAATCGATCCAACTCGAGAAAACCCCTCGCAGACATGGGTGTCTTTACCTTTACCCTTCCCAAACATAAAGTGGCTGAGAAAAACATGAGTGTGGCAGCTGCGCCTGTCTACAGAACTCGTGCTTTCTTTTCATGTCTCCTAGTTGACTAGCTAAATCAGGAGAAGAAGAGTTGAGTCAAATATCTGAACATCACCCAGCTGAGCTTTTTCGATGACGAATACACGGCAAACGAGAGAGTTCGCTAATCTACTGAATAGTGCTGACCACGTGCCAGCTGCAATTTGATCAGGGTGCTGTTTTTCGGTGCCTATCACCCACACGTGTTGTCTAGTGCAAGAGAGAGCCAGGATTTCGTTCCGATCGTAAGTTATGCACATCGGTTAGGCACTAAATGAGTAGAAATCGTCCGCCTAGCAAAGTATGTGTTTCGTTTGTGCGACACGAAAAAGCTCTCTCCGCCAACGTATCGGGCGAAAGGACCCCATATGGAATTTTTCAGGAAAGTGATCACACTATTCCTCCCCAAATCGTTTTTATTTAAATGCAAAGAAAAAATGTGTCATAGTGCCCTGATACTTTTGGGATCCTTTTTCAGAACTGCTGTTAGCGGCATAATTACTCTACAAAGTTGGCCTTGCCATGGACACGGCCTACACAACATTTCGACGTACCTGTACCAGCATGTCCTACTTTCTTTGGTTGTAATTTCATTACAGCAGGCTTGCTACGGTCAAGAACAACTTACAAAAGTAGCAGCAGCGTTTCGTTCAAGTTCGAGTGTTTGTGGTCTGTTGGCGTTGAAATGCAACCTTCAAAGCTCAGAATGTTCCCGTGCTAGGAAAAAATAAAGTGGGAAAATGCCCCTGTGGATCAATTACCTTAAACTTAAAATTATATTCCATGTATTTTTTCTCATAAAAAATGCAATAAGGTCTGCATATTGGTTACAAGCACACAGCTGCATCGGTGTAAACCGTTCGTAAAAGAATGCAAAAAATCGATTGTAAACCGTTCGTTTCACCCGGCCACGCAATCGATCAGCTCGACCAATCATTCCGCTCTGAGAAACTTGCTACTACATTAGTTCCTGGTGCTGATTTGAAATGAAAATGAAACTCATTTTGAACGCTTTTGATAGCTTTAACCTAAAGGTCAGATAATGCCATTGATCTGGTATGCTCCGACGTGACCTTTTACTGAGGGAAAAGTACCTAGTTTAGGGCTGATTCCGTGAATGGTGCTATAGGCACTACCAACACCTACATCATATTTCAGTTTGTTTGGTTCTACGTGACGTGATGGTCACGGTCTAGTCACCTAAAAATTACCATAAATAAGCTGCCGAACTACCTGTGGATTTGGTGTCTCCACCTCCCTTAGTGTCTTAGATCTCAGGGGTCAAATCGGCCTCCCTCCGCCCACCCGAGTGCGTCGCGTTTAACCAGCCACCTTGGTGCCCACCGTTGGACGCGACCTAGGCGCAGTGCTCTGGCTCATTGTGTGATATTTTTACATGTCTTCTGTCGTTTCACATTTTATGTACTTATTTTACGTGGATAGCGGTCAGACCAAACAATAGCAAGTCTTCCGGATGGAATAATTGTTGTGATTGTCGTCATCCCTTGTTTGTCGGTGTAAACACAACGTTTCGGCCAGTTAAGTCCTCGGCCGCCGTCAGGTGCTATGCCCTGTTCCACATGGCTCGAAGCCAAACATCATCCAGTGCTGCTCAGGACACCGTAACGCCTGACGATGGCTGGAGACCTAACTGGCCGAAATGTTGCGCACATACTATCACACCAGACAACATCCGTGGAACTGATGCTTCGTCTCAATCATTCCGTGAAACTATTACCAGGGCTTTCTGGAAGCCAATCCTCAGTCGCCCAAGCACTGCATCGGATTTCGACGGTCGCATACATCAATTAGCTTTGACGGGTTGCGTCGGATTTGAGACTGCGGTCTCGTCATAAGTATGCATTTACAGGGATGCACGGAAGATGACAAACGGGCCCAAAGACGGGGGCGAGGGAAGTGAAAGGCGGAAACGAACCTAGCCCGTTGAGAGCGTTTCATTCAGAGTGCAAAAAATCACAGCCAAGACACACAAATACAGCCCCAAAGCGCACATCACCGTCTGGTGTAAGTCCACGCACGGGTACTTTAAAACCTTACGCTCCAAGATATGCTGTGGTTCAACATCTTTTTTCCGATGCTAAGAAAGCGGCAAAATGTAGGACATTTGCGGTTCTGGTAACAAATTTAGCGATCTAACTTAGCCCATTTCCAGCCTTGCACTGGACCCAGTAATCAGCTTGCGCGGTCGTACGTCCCGAGACTGGAGGTTCCGTTTCACAGTCATGGTAGCCTTCGCCGTGGATCCTGATTATCTGCCAGTCCCTATGTGCTTCTGACATCAGGCCGGTGAGTGTTTTTTCGGAGCGTTTTAAAACAAGGATGAGCACTGGACGGTTTCACATTGTTCAATATGTTTGGATGCCATTTCTGCGAAAAGTCTGAGAGAAGTTTGGGTGACTTTCTAAGGACGGAAAATCTTTGGGGATCAACGAACCCTTTTCGCGCCTGATAGTCTTTCCTACTCAAGGACGATGTTTTGCGAGTCTGAGGGGCTCATTTGGAAAACAAACCTCCGTCTTTAGCCCAGTCGGCCTTCTAGTAGGTTCGGGTCATGAGAATCATGTGTAAGTACCTTGCAGCTGTCCAAATGTTTTGCAACTCCTGTCTCCGTGCAATATTACTTTTTATTATAAATAGCCTATCTAAGCACACACTCATGTTGCCTGCCTCAGTTGCCTTAAAGACCTTGGCATATTCCGCTCTCATCCAGCCGAGGATATTCGAAAACGAATCAAACTAAGGCCGTTGCATTATTACATGAGATGAAAACACAAACTGTAAAATGAGATGAAACGGCAAAACCAGATGAGACGGCCGACTCAGAAGGCTAAAAATGCCACACAGACGAATGCAAGTCGGCCAGCATTACGGGAACGGCGCTTCGATTGATTCCCAGATTGGACGCGACAGAAATGGCCTGTCCCATCACCACCGGATCCAGGCTCGGGCTGTCGCACACACGCTTCAGCCGCACGACAGCTGACTGACATCAGCTGACTGACTGACATGCAGCGGTGTAAGACAGTAGATATTCCATTGCGGTCCATCGTCGCCTGTCCTCAGCCGAAACTGTTTCCGTGCGCAGTTCCCACACCCACCCACACACGCGAGCGCGAGCTGTCGTGACGTAAGGCGGACAACGTCGCCAGGTCGCGGCCTGACGGGCACAGGTGACCGCCGCCAAAATGGCGCCCATGTGCAATGTACGCTGACAATGGTGGAGGGGGGGGGGGGGACGAAAATCCCCTTAGCAAGATAAGCAATATCGGGGCTGATAACCTCAACCATTGTCCTTGAAGCTCGATAACCAAGATGCATTGATTTGGTTGAATATAGCTGCGCTTAAACGGGCAGTGTCACCCATAGAAGTTATAGCGAAGCCCTCAGCAGTGAATAGGATGGACTGTAGTCATCACCGCCCACGCGGCTGGAAAGTGAAGCTGTGTGATCCAAAGGACAAGATAATGAAATAGCTTCGATTTAAAACGGCGTTTGCAGTTCTCGAATGTCTTTGTCTTTCCAATAATGCGTCTAGCTCACCAGGATTTTTCAGATAGAGACACCAATGTGTCCATACCATGAAGGCCGCAGTGAACTCGTTGACAAAAGTGAAGACTGGTGAAATGCAAAAGATGGTGTCGTGCCTTCTTTCCAATTATGCACGTCGGCAGCTCGAGAAAAGTTTCAGGAATCCTTCCAAACAATCTAGTATGGAAAACATGGTCGAAATTTACAGATTAAAAACTACGTGTGATAAAAGGTGCGAGAAAAGCGATTTATTGTCAAGTGAAGAAGCGACCCTACCTCTTTTCCCCGTTGACCATCCACAGACCAGACGCACTGATTTGAGTCAAAGCAAGCTGTTATAGAGGCCCATATGACTTTAGATACACAAGCACCTTGGCAGCAGGTTGGTATGACCCGAATCCGGTTTGTTGAAAGGGGAGCGCGGTCTAAAGTGATGCGCACAAGCATCGCTGAAAAAGTGCCAGCAATTATCGTGTTAAGTAGACATTCTGAGCTTTTAATATGCCACTGGCAGACCTGGGCTTGTGGCCTTGAGTAGTTACAATACACTTTTAAATGCGGTAACATAGTAATATTTCAAACTGACCGGCGACACTTTCGCTTCGAGTTCTAAGCGTTTAAGCTTTTTAATTTGGTAATGAGTATGTAATACGCGTATTTGCATATTATGCGTGCATATATGGGCATCTTTGCATTCGTGTAATAAAACTCATGAACTCCTTAAGTGTTCTGGCAAACTGCTTTCACGTATGGTTTCAGAACAAAGTGACACTTCGGGTTGACCAAAGCAAAACGGAGCAAAAGACGTTCGCATCTTTATGTGACTCCGAGCCCGAAAGGGCCTTGGAAGCCAAAAAAACCTTACAAGACATCATTAAATAGCTCTAGCCTTACCACCATTAGAGTATGACATATAGTTGATGGCATAGTCAACACCCGCCCAATAATCGCTCTGCTTGATATCATACTAACCTCGCACTTTGGTGACAGTAGCGTATTCCACTGACCTTTTGTAGCACGGATTCGCTCAGCTTTTCTTTGTTGACTATCTTGACTGCGACTTTCCTGCCCGTCATGCAGTGTACGCCGAGCTTAACCAAGCCTGGAACCAGAGACACAACATGGTCATTAGTACTCAGCAGCCTCTGGTTTCGTCATGATGACGTCACCGATGTTGTGACGTCATACCGCCGTCTAGCCAGCTGCGACGTGCCGACGAGAGGTGCCAGTGATGCCCTCGTTATCAAGCAATCATTTCTCACCCCGCTCGTGGAATGGGTGTCAGAAGAGGGGCCGAATATTCCCGCTGTGTTTGATGGGGACGCTGCCGAGCTGCAGCGCAGCTACGCTCTGGTGGGTGTTATTCAGCCCCACGCCAGTGTCGGATGTATTTTGCAGGCCGATGAAGACGACAGTTTCCAGGTCATGGCATCGTTTGGTCAGCGGCCTCGTGATTTGTGGGCGCCGATAGGGGAGGGGTAAACGCGTCTGTATAAGCCACTACGCGCCTGGGAAACCAGAAGTACGGAGCTCGAGTCCCCGTAGCGCGCGCCCTTCCTGCCAAGGGGAGAGGCAGGCGGCGCCATATAGCCTCAGCAGCTAAGTGCGCCACAAAGTTCCAATGACGACGACGACGGCCCCGTGATTTGGTGGTTACTCAGTACATTACTAGCTCGTTTGCGTCTAAGCAGCCACTGAGCTAAAGAAAAACCACACGGTATGAATGAGAGACAAACAGCAAATCAGTGGTATATGTAGTCATTCGCTGATGCAGCAGAGTAGGCCGACAAGCTGCTACATGCACGGTTATTTTCCCAGGGATCACAAATAATGGCTCAAGATAAAATGCTGTCGTTAGCGGTAATATTTATCAATGGTTTATTGCGGTTCGTTACCAAGAAATAGTTGCACATTAAATTCGTGATACAAAATATGATACTCGTATGTTGCTATTTTTGTATACTTACGTTGCCGAGGGTTTGTGGTAGCGAGTGAACAATTCGAACGAAAAATGATGCGACCGGTCATCATTGGTACCAAGTGACAATTAAGCCATCAGCGCCATTCGTATCACAACATAAGTGGCATGGGAATTATGGTAACACAAAATGCTATTAATAACCACTGACCTTCGCATTTCTTGTTGAATTTATGATAGTGATTAAGGAGACTGGATTTACGAGGACAATGTTTGGATTCCGGGCAGATAAAAGAACAGAATTGTGACACTGGACAGATATCAGGTCAGGATTTGGATCCTGGACATATATCAGGACAGGATTTGGATCCTGGACATATATTAGGACAAGATTTAACTCAAGATTCTTCAACTAGACGGAAATTTCAATTGAGGTGTTTGATTGATCTCTACTTTAAGCCAAATGTTCAGAAGCCTATGGGACATTCCTTTCGTATGTTCTGACAACAAAGACGTGTCTCTAGCATTTATGGTTTCGGGGCAGCTGCAGTTGATTTAGTAACACTGCACCGCGGTCTACGGCCTGCACGGGTGGCGGGCAGCAATCAACGACGCGACAGAACGCACGGCGGGCCGACATTGCTCCGCTACAAAGAGATACAGGATACAAATATGATCAAAACACATGAAATCATGCACCACTGTGCTCAGAGTTGAGGAAGAAACACGCCTGTATAGCTTTCGTGACACTACATGACAAATTATTGGATGTATGACGCTATAGAGCTGAAAAGTGCGATAGTCGGGAAAGTTTGGTCCAAAACCAAGCGTAATGGGGTCAAGTTTTTTAAGATGGCCACATCAAAATTGTTAAAAATCGTTTGATCTCGTTGAGACCAGTCAAAAGGTACTTTCCGCTAAACTGTATCTGTCTTAGCTTGGAAACACCAGGGGGTCGCATCGATCCCCCCCCCCCCCCCCTATCAGCGCTACGCGAGACGGCGAATCAGCGCGAGCGATGGTTAAACATTTAACATTACATGACAACATGCTGGCAGATATTTTATGAAAGCGCGCTAATGCAGAATATATAGCGGATCCTTGAAAATGCTAAACGATGCCGGCAGCCATCGAACCGCCGAGAAGACCATCGCTTATCAGAAGAGTGAGCTCATGCAGCTGCGAACATCACCAGCTGACATGCTTATCACGCAGCCGCTCTCCATCTTTATAACCATGACAACGCCTTCTGCCTGAGAGCGCTCCAGATTTTCGTTGAGACCACGTCCAGGTGCTTCATCCTCGGCGTCTGGGGACAACAAGTGGCCCTGGCCGCTTTGGCAGCAGGTGGTTCTCCGTCCTCCCTTCCCTTCCCCTAAACGCTACTCCTGATAGCTCCTCCCGGCACACTTAGCCAGGTCCCATTTTTAAATTTCAACATTTTCCCATGTTTTAAATGGGGCAACATCATCATCATCATCATATGCATCATCGGCATAAGTTTTAGTGATGCCGAGATGCATGAATAACTTCAGCGAGCGAGGTAGTATGTTTACCAAATGGTGTGGATGAGGTGATTGTATTTAATTTTGCGCACCAGGAGAAAAAAAAATGGGATTATATGGCAACCAGGACATTTTATCCTCCACAAAAGGTTTCCTGTATTGAGAGCAGACAAAATTACCCACTTTCTTCGTCCCCCTCCCCATTGAAAGCTCCTTAAAATATGCCGTAGACTTAGCCATGACGTTGTTAATGAAAGCGACATGAATATGCGGGAGCAAACCCCGCCCACTAATTCACCAGAGGCGTGCATGAGGCTCCCATCTAACGCAGGCAAGCTGTCATATGCTGAGTGGTAAGCCGCCGTAAACAGCTGGCTGTGGCAGTGAGCACGAGCCTCAATGTGGCGCCTCCAGGGCCCATCTCGACCCGACGCTATTATCGGCCGCATCGACCGCCGCGCGGCAATCAATCTTGCGTGATCAATCTTGCGTGATCCTGTTATAGTACGGTCGATCGACAGTTGTCCCCATCATAGATCCATTGATCATTGTTTGGTCCCCAATATAGACCTGCCGATCGACTGCCGGCCCCTTTTAAAAATTGGAGCATTTTCTTTAGACAGTTAACAAATGCTCTTGAGGTCGATGTGACTGCTGCGTGCGCTCTGAACGAACTGTTCGTGTGGCGTCGTTTCTCTGCGGCAGACATTTTCTCTGGAATGCTAGCATGACCTTTGAAAGGGAGAGGAAGTGTGCCGTATAGTGCCGCAACATTTAGGTTTCATTAGATTCGATTAGGTTCAGTTAGGTTCCATTTAGGCAGAACGTTCTTTGGTTATTTGCCAGTTAACTTGTGAACTGCTTGTTAGGTTTAATCGAAGCCGCCGACTTCCGGGAGATGAATGGCCGCATTGATACGCTAGACTTGAAGTCCACAGCCCTACACCAACTGAGCCCACTTGGTAGACTTCAGGTAGTCCGTGCTTGTCATTTTCATCGATGGCCAAATCATGGTTTCGTCAGCTGATTGCAATTCTTCCCTCAGCTGATTAAAAGTCTGCATTCGTCGTCGGACAACCGACGCACGCTATGGAACGATGGGCCGAGGGCCAGCGGGCTGATGGTGGAGGCAGCTGTACTGCAGTGGGACGAAGCCGCACTAGTGTGAGACGCAGAGCTCCATACCGCACTTGGATGGAGCAGCCCACTCGCATGCCTTCGTTAGATGAGATATAGATATGCCACTTTGGGAGCTGGGAGGGAGCTTTTAGTATGAGAGGCAAGTGCAGCTCCGAAGGAGGCAGTTGAGAAAAAAAAACGCTGCTGGGAGCGTTGGAGTGGCTCAGTGAGGCGGTGCGCCACTTGCGCGGCGCGTCCGCTGACCGGCGGCATTCGCGGCGCCGCGGGCGGTGACGGCGACCGTGACAAATCCTCGGGCTCTAATGACCGCCTCGCCGGCGCTATCTGCCTCCACTGAAACAGAATCTCCGGCGCGGCACGCTAACGATCCGATCACTCGCCGCCGTCGGTGGACAGCCGTCGGATGCCAGCGCGTCCGCCCCTGTCATCGCCGCCGCCGCCGCCGCGGCACCGACAGCCGGCGGCCACTGGCGAGCGCGCGCACGCCGGCACGGCCGGAAGCGACGTGCATCACGTTCTGCATGCCGTCTTCACTTGGGGAGTGGTAGAACGAGAACGGGGGGGGGGGGGGAGGGGAGAACCAAAGGTTGGACGAGGCCATTAGAGCCGTCGGTTTGTACTTTCAATCCGCGGCGCAGATCTTGCTTAGGCTTCTTTTAACACATCGGGGTCTTCTGACCTGGTCTAACCCGTCAGATGTGTGCTTTTATGGCTTGTTGAGAGCTGCTTACCAGATGGAGCCAGCAAAGAGTCGCCTGCGTCGTCGAGCACTGCGTTAACTCTCACCCCATCAGTGGCCAGCTTCTTCAACTTGACGCCACGTGAGGGTTATACGTGTCAGGATCGCCGTCACATCGTAGATATTTGCTACCCAGGGCACAATTTGTGAAACGCAGCAGCTTGCTGCGCTCTCGACGACGTTCGAAATTAGGTTCATCGCCTGCTCCATTAGCTGGCCCCTGATCGAATTCCTCGACAGGCCTGAGACTAGTGGCCGTTTCGGAGTTCATTAGCTGCTGAAAAAGGATGGGTCATATTTGACAGAGATGTCTCGCCAGTATTTCAGGCACCCACGCCTTCGGGGAGCCTTGGGCACCGAAGCAGGATTTCGTACGCGGTCGAGCAGAGGTCTGACAAAACTTTTGGCGAATTCCAATTAAGCCCGCACCATAGGCAAAAGTTGCACGTTGAATAATAAAGTCAGCTTTCTTTGATTTAGCGGTCGCAGTACAGGTCTCTTCTCAGCCGCGAGTGGCTGACGATGGGAGTTCGGTAACACATCACAACCTTGGCTGGAATCCCATCAGGGGCGTTTTGATGTCACAAAAGCTCCAGACATGGAGTCACAGGATGATCATATCTGTATTTTATGCACCGCATGACCCATGTGGTCCCACCCATGGTTCAAAGGTCAGTTCCGGGTCCCTTGCGCTCGTTTCGCTGTTATTGACATGATAGATAAACGGCATCCGCCCATTACATTCCGGTGTTTTGAAGGGTCACAAAGTCGGCTGCAGGCAGCAGAGCTACTTCATCCTT